CCCTAACACAAAACAGCTGCTGAATTCTTGTGTCCAATAAACCCACAGGCTGAGATTTGTCAACACTGAGACAAATGATTAAACAAAAAATGTCTGTGGTTTCAGCTTCTTACCAGATATCCAACTGCCCAACTGTTCTCCCTGAAAGATAGATTAAAATCCTGAAGATTGGTTGGTGTTTAACTTTCAATTTTCTGGCCCCTGTTTTTCTTGAATACTGCCTCAAATATCACACTCGCAGGTTTCAGCAGCCTTCAAATAACTTCTCTAAGCGCATTACTAGCAATAGTGGGGAATGTTTTAAAATCTTCTGCAGTGAGTTGAGTCAGTATTTTATGTTGCTATTTTGTCTGTAAAGAGCTGGGAACTAATTAGCCAGGAACCAGTTGTATGTATATGTGTTGCAGTGGGCAACATTCACAGCTTCAGTGGGGAGTCAGCTGTTGTGTAATGTGGTCTCTATCAACAACGTCAGGCAACATGGTAAAGTGGAGTACTTAACTTTACAGGCTTAAACTGTAATTACTTCCAACATCTAGGAACTGAAAGACAATGTGAAGACGTAGTGGTCAAGGCGAGATTTGCTTGCATTTGTTACTCTGTAATTTCACTTACCATTTGTAGAACAAAGCAGTTCAATGCTGTCCGAACTGATTGTGGTCTCTGAACAGCATTTCTGTTTGCCTTTGGAAAGACTGAAAGAGTGCATGAGTACAGGAGCCTCCTGAATGCGAAATGCTCAAACTACTTTCAGGAGTGCCCAGCACTGGTAGCCTGGAGGGAATCCTGGGCTGAGGTTTAATCTAACTAACCTGCCCACAATGGCTGGTATACCAGGGGTGAACTGGTAATCCATTTATCAGAGATGTAGACTTTGCCTTGACTGTTTTAAGTCAGTTGCGATTCAGTGCCCTGAGGTTCAGTGAGGTCAGGAATGGTGGATAGTATCTCCCTTTAATTTGGCAGGCACCAGATGGACGTTCTCGACAATGCTTCTCGGAAGCACACACCTTGTAGTGTCACTCATTCCTCTCTCCATGTACTTCGTCAGGACTCCAGCTAAGCTGTCAACATTCACCCTCACATGCCATTTCACTCCCATCCCTTATGGTGACACTCCACAAATTGTGCGGTTCCATGCTGAAGTAGACCAGGTTACGGTGAAGCTTGAGCAAAGGCAGTGATTTCTAATGTTGTGAATGATTTGTGTTGGGGGGAGTTGGGGGCATTGGATGTTTTGCCATAAAGCTTTGGGGGTTTCCCACAATGGGCTTCTCTTGCGTTCAGATGAGGGGTTGAAAACACCCTGGTAACATCTGGTTCTGCCTCATTCTGCCTCTCCTTATCTTGATGTAGAGTAGTTTGCACCATTCCACAGCTCCAGGGCTCTCTGCATTATGCGGTGTAAAGCACAGCAGATGCGTGTTATTCTAAACACTCTTGCAGGGACGTACTGAAGACCTGAACTGCTTCTTCAGCAAACCCAATGGTTTGGTCCATGTGGTTATGGGGCTCCTGCTGTATCTCTCCCTATATCATTAGGGCTTTTTACAAGTGTCATCATCCAAACTTCAGGCACATCTTTGCCTCCATCGAGTCACTCAATCACTCATTCTACATGGACAATGTGACTGTTGGAGAATGAAGACATTCTGGCAGCTTCCAAGATACAAGGCACTAAATATGGTGCAACAACATACATGAAAAGCTTCCCATGGAAAACATTGCATTGGTCACCCAGGAGATACGTAGAGGGTAAAAGGTTGGGGAATTCTGCAGATGTCATCAGCAGAGCCCTGGAAGGAACTGGCGATGAAGAAATTCAAGTCCATGTTGTCCTTAGTGGTGACTGGCAATGCCTGATGTTCTGGTCCCTTTGAAAAGGAATCTTGTTCCAGGAGACTGCCACAAAATTTTCAGCTCTCCTTATGTTTCTGTTTCATCATGTTGAGGAGCTGATCTTTAGCATTTGGACCCAGTACTGAAGGTACTGCCTCCTTTGAGGAGGAACTTCATGTCTTGCCCCGCTCTCTTCTGGAGTAGCATACAGCTTTAAAGGGAAGCAATGTTGATATTAGTGTTGCTCTTACTGCTGTTTGTGTTGGTGTTGTTGCTCCAGGGTAAAAAAAAAATTAAGCTGCTGCCATGCTGAAATGAAAATTGGCAGAATGAAATGTAGATCAAAGACCAAGATAGGTGAAGTGACTCAAAAATTTGGAAATCAGCTATAAAGCAGTGACAGCACACTCTCAAAGCAAGAGCTGCAAACGCAAGCCTTACACATAGGTAAAGAAGCAGCTAAGCAGTTTCACTCTTCCAAGGCTTATCAGCCTTCAAATACCACCAAGCAGTGTATTCCTACTGCACTGTCATTGTGTTACCCCTTGTGAGGTCTACACAGTTCCATGTACCGGCTTTTATACACAGGAACCTAGATTAAAGGCTGAATTAATTGTGTCTTAGCCTGTCAGTGTTGGAAACCTGACATCTCCACATGTGTTTCTCCATGTGTCTCCAAACAAGCACTGGATCATGTTGGGTCACTGACAAGCCAGTATATAACTGGGGACTTAAGTCCCCTGCCCTGAAATTTAAACCTCAGCTGTAGTTACTACTTGAATAATCAGATTCCAGCATGAAACCTAGCTTCATCATATTTTATTTTATTCAAAAACTTAACATGGTGATCTTTCACTGAGACGCAAGTATGTCTGGCTGCAGTTTAAACTGACAATAACACAGAAGTTTCTACATATTAGTTTAAAAAATAGAATAAAACAAACCAAGTTGTCTAAATATAACATAGTTTCCAAACACCTGACAAAGCAAAATCCCATCTATTCCTCAAGCCCGACGCTTTATAGCAAATCAAAATCAGTCCTGTGAGCTGCAAAGCCATTTTCCTTGACTCTCACAATGGAGATCTCAAACCTTCTCAGTTTTGAATAACCAGTGGAGATTTCTAAGCAAATGCACTGTCACAAACTGAAACCCTCACACAGAATCATACAGTACAGAAGAGGCCCTTCAGCCCATCAAGTCTGTTTTGCCAACAATGTACTACCACCCTAATCCTACCTACTCACAACAGACACACAGCCTGAATGTCATGATACTTCAAGAGCTTATCCAAGTACGGTTTAAAGGTTGAGGCTTAATGCCTTGACTACCTTCCCAAACCGTACATTCTACTGGTTGGGAAGGTTTTTACTCAAATCACTCTAAATCTCCTGCCTTTCACTTTAAAATTATGGCCCCCTTGATAGTGACCCTTCAACCTCCCTTAGCTGTTCTGAACAAACTCCTTTTTCTAGGAGAAACTATTTTTACATCTGCCTTTAGTCAGTATCTTTCAAACTGAATTCAAAAGCTTTTGACTAACTCTAATTCCTACAAAGCTGATGGTTTGACATTTTTCTGCTCCTGTCATAAAACCCAAAAATATAAACAAACTTCCACTAACATTCCAGAAGGCCTTCAACCATCTACTCTCTGACAATTACTGATGTAAAATTATGGTTCTGGAAAATGTGACCTAGTTAATTATTAAATTCATTCATAAAAAGTGACCAACACACAAGTTTGAAACTTTGAAATCCAAACTCCGAGAAAAAAAGTTAGATATAAATTACACACCTTTCATCACATTCTCATACCAGAGCCTCAATCAATCCCAGCCGAACCCGCAGTTAAAATGCTGCCCTATCTCTCAAACTTTTTAATAAGTACAGCCACTTTGCAAATCCACTAGTGGAGCAAAATTCTTGAGGTTTGCACCAAAACTATAAGGGTTGAGTTAACCAGAATGTATGTCACAATGTTCTTGATCCTTCCAGAAACTGAATAATGGCAAAGCTATGGAGGGAAAATAAGAAACAGTTTTCCTCTTCCATTAACTCCACTAAGAGGCATAACTGCCATATTAATTAATTAAGGAAAGTGTGGGTGTATCATGAAAACCCCAGCTCAACACATCATCATTCCAATCATACAGTTTTCAAATTGTGACTGCAACTCATTCTGATGCTACAGATGTGCATTCAAAATACAGAAAATGTACATGAGTCTCAGTGAGGGAAGCAGTAAAAAAAAACCCAAAAATTGTCCAAAATGTTGCTACAAAACCTGAAATTCTTTGGGTATGCCGTACCAATAACACAATTTTAGGCTTCAAATTACACCCAGTTTGAATGAGTATGAGTACAGAAATGTTGCACTCTTTGAACTTATGCAAACTCTCACTGAATCTATGTAAAAGAGTGAGTAAATTCAATTTACAATAAAAAGGATCATACATCAATTGCTCAGAAATTTTCTCACTTTTATTTGAGTGGAAAATCAGCACACTTACACAATTGCCTCTGTGTAAGATTTCAAGAAATTCACTGCTAATATACTTTTATCCCAATCTCTGGCACAACACTTCAGGTTTACATCAGCATAACATTTATATTCCCTGCTATGAAACACACACACACACACACACACACACACACACACACACACTTGCAGCCAGCATAGACTTCACATCCAATAATATAAACTGTGCCACCATGCGCCAATGAGGTGAACACAGTTTCGCCATAGGCCAGAAGGTGAGACTCTCCCCAGCATAAGCAACACCCTGTTTGGCAACAATCAGGTGTGTCCAATGGTTGATGTATTAACTTTATATCTGCGCAACCACCAAACTTCACTTAATAAAATTCATCGAGATCCAGAATATAAAACAGGTGAAAATATGTTCTGATCCACAGAGCACTTTAAATGCAAGTATGATTGAATAAAACTTATTAATGCTCAATATAGTATTAAGTTGCATTTTGGCACCAATAGTACAGGTAAGTGTTCAGTCACCTTTGCCCAATACGGATGAGTGACATGTGCAGTGTGGCTGGTGTAAATGGTGAGAGTTGTAATGGGAAAACATTACAGGAATCAGTTATCAGAATGAATTGGCCAATTAAATTGTCTTGCAAAAACATTTTGTGCTCACTTACTTATTTCTAGGTCCGACTTGTGCTGTGGAAACAATTTGGAGTTGCTATGACTTGTTGAGGATTTGTTCCAAGCTTGGTCCTCCATCTTTTCCAGATGTTCCTGTGTGTGTTTCCTTACAAAAAGAGAGAATACATTGAAAAGAATGACCACTTTGAGATCCGACATGCATGTTATTCAAGGGATATGATACCGCAGCATAATAATGATTCCTTATAGGTATAGGAAAGAACATAAGAACATAACAATTAGCAGCACAAGTTGGTGATTTAGGCCCTTAAGCCTGCTTTGTCATTTGATATGGTCATGGCTGACCTCAACTCCACTTTTCTGCCTGCTCCCCATAACTCTCCAACTCTTAGCAATACGTGCTTTCCAATCCAAAACAATAGAAAAGCACTAACCATTAACCCCTGACTGTAAACGGTACCATGCCAGTGCAGAGTCAGTTGTGGTGTCAATGATCATTGCAGTGTCATCAATGATACAGAACGTCCTGTTATCAATAATCAAAATGTTGTGTTTTGGTTGAATCTGTATCATAATCTTATTAGAACTTTGAAAATTTCATTCGTGGCTGAAGCTTGAGAGTATGGTTAATAAAGCAATCAGAATCCTAAGCTTCGTTAATATGGGCATAGAATACAAAACGGGAACAATAGGTTAAACTTGTACAAAACATAGTTTGGCCTCAACTAGATTCTGCACTTCAGGAAGGATGTGAGGACATTAAAGAGAGAGTGCTGAAGAGATATATGAGAATGTTTCCAGAGTAGCTTCATGGAGATAGTTGGGGAAATAGAAGGTCTTTTCCTTGGAGGAAAGCAGGCTGAGAAGAGATTTCATGGAGATACTCAAAATCATGAAGAGTTGTCACAGAGTAGATGATCTCATTAGTGGAAGGTTTGAGAGCCAGAGAGCACAAATTGAAAAGTCATTTGCGATAACATGAGGAAAGAAGTTTATTGCAGAGTGAATGTTTCAAATCTTGAATGTATCGCCCGGGAGTGTGGTGGAGGCAGGTTCAATTGAGGTATTCAAGAGCGAATTAGATCATTACCTGCATAAGAGGAATGCGTAAGGCTACGGGGAGTAGGCATAAGATGGTACTCCAGGAACTGTTCCTTCAGAGCGAAGGCAAAGATATTACAGGCTCAATGGCAACCTCCTGTGCTCAAACAATTCTGTGATTCAACCTCACTTTCCCCCTTTAAGACACCCTTTAAAATGTTCCTCCTTCTGTAGGTTTTTTTGTCGTCTCATCTAACATTGCTCTCTGTGGCTTACCATTATGATAGTGTTGAACAAATTAATAGCAACACAGAGTTTGGGAGCAAGCCTTCTGGTGTAGCAAACTCATTTGAATAAAAATGGCTCACTTTGACTGGTAAAATTCAGTTAAGATATATGAGGGAGAAAACAACAAAAAAAACAAAGGAAGAAGAACCTTCAAGGCATACTCTGCAACCAATGAAGTTGTGAAGTGAAATGTGACTGTCAAATTGCTCACAGCACAGTCCCACGAAACAGCAATGAGTTGATCAATTTTTTGATGGAATTTGTTGAGAAATACTTTGCGTTCAGGTTAATGGGATAAAAAAACTACTTTTTTTTTCCAATAGTCCTACGGATTCTTTGATGTTCACCTCAGAGGCGGATGGTTCCTTGGTTTAACATCTCAAGGGTTCTTTTTTCTCAATTTATGTCACCTTCATTAAAAAGGGCGCAATGGGTATTGATGACAAATAGAATATCTCTGTTGTTGTAGCACTATTACAACAGACAATGTACCTTGCTGCTCTCCATGGAGAATACTGCTTATCAATACGGCCTTGAAGTCTGGTTGATGGATTCTTTTCAGAATCTCCTTGGGGCTTATGTAGTGTCTCCTCCAAACGCTGTCTGAGTTGGGAGACCTCCATTTGCAAAGCCTGAATCACCTCACTGAAAACACAACATCAAATGCAAAAGGTTAAAGATGCAAAGAAAACATCAAATCGACTTAGACCAGATCAATTCATTCACAAAGCATTTGTAATTCAAAAATTAACTTAAGGGGACTGATACCTTTTAGTTAATTGTCTGGACCAACAGGTTACCCAAGCAGGAATTAGTTAAACTACAGACCCATCAATGCCAAATTGAATGTTAGTTATGTTAAGTTGGGGTTTATGCCCGCGAAGAGGTTTCTGCAGCCACTTTAGATTATTAATTGGCTTATTTTTAATTCTACCAAAGTGCTACTTATATATTTTATAGTTTCGGATTAATACTCACTCTCTAGCTGAGTGAATGCTCAAAGGACTGGAACTGTAATGGACTTTAGGATGGAAAGTTAACGGTGAGGAGTTCAGAGATGAGCGATGGCGCCTCTGCTTGGCATAGGCACTGAGGCCATTTTGAACATCAGGTTCGGACTCTGTGCGGCCTTAAATAAAGTAAAGACACATCTTTTCAGGCACACTTTATTTCCCAGAAGGAATTACTATTAAGAAAGACCACTCCAATATTGACTGAATATTTGAGAAAATGCAACTTCAAATATACTTCCATTGCACTATCCTTGCACCTTAACACAATTATCACAACAAGACCCTTTTTCACATTCTCTTCCTTTGGCAGTCATTGTTAGGCCTTGTCTGGACAGGATGATCGACGTCCCCGAATTTAGGCCATTTTCCACTGTGCATACCCAGTTGCACACGATTTGAATGAGGCCACCTTAAGGTTATTTCACTTAGGGCACTTATGGAAGAGACAGGAAGATAGATAGGAGAGGATGTGGTGTAGTGGTAAAATTGCTGACCTACTAGCCCTGAGGTTCAGACTAAAGTATTGGGTCCATGAGTTCAAATCCCACTATGGCAACTGGTGGAATTTGACTTCAATTAAAGGGGGGAAAAAAAACTAGAATAACAGCTATTTTCAGTAATGGTGACCATGAAACCGTTGCGAACTGTCATAAACACCCATCAGGTTCACTAATGTCCTTTAGGACAGAAAATCTACCATCCTTGCTTGGTCTGGCCTACATGTGATGTCAGATCCACAGGAAAGTGGTTAACCCTTTAAGTGCCCTCTGACATGGCTGAGCAAGCCACTCAGATCAAGGGCAATCAGGAATGGCCAACAAATATTGGCATTGCCAATCATGCCCACTAGCTTGTGACAGCATTAAAAAAAAATTTTTGGTTTGAGACAGTTAGAGATGTGGAAATGAGTTATTTTTCATGGATTTAGGTTGGATTTGACCCCAACGTTTTTGTCCTCAAAGGTCAAATTGGTTGTCACCCAGTCACAAAAATGCATAATCTTAGCAAGTAGTTGAGATTTTTGGGATTCCTAGAAATAGAGTATGCACAGCTTGTCAGCACATGAACTCATTACTGCTCTACTGTAGAACCCAACTATATTAAATATGCCTCCCTATAAAACTTTTCCATTCCCTAAATTTTCCCCAAAATTTCCTCAAAAGAGCTGACAGGAATTTTTTACCCTCGGCTTCAGATGTGTTTACAGCAAATTGGAATAGGGCTGCTGAACCCTTTCTTTTTGTTCCTGTGGCCAAGCATTTCATTTTTGGGTGATAACTTCTAGAAGGCCTCTCTGCAGCAGCAGAACCCACATAAGACTCAAAGTACAAGGGTCAAAAGCTGCATCCCTCTGCTTGCTGACGTCCACTAGCCCAATTGACAGCTGGAACGATGTCAACTCCCCCTGGTACAAATTCTAAAATGGTTGTACTTACTAACAAAGGTCTCCTGTTCAAACTCACTCATCATGCTGCCCATCCACTGCTGGGGTGAGCTAGTCCGGGAAGCATCCACTTGCAAAACGCTGTCCCTCCTTATTACATTGTTCAGTCGTGCTGTTGGAGACTGCTCATGTTCAGCAACGCCTCGATGCTGGGTTTCCTGAAACTGTGGGTCATGCTTCGCAGGTTTTTCATCCTGACAAGGCGATTTTAGTGACATCGCCCTTTGATTTTGAAGTCTGTGATCACAGAGGAAAGTAATGATTGAAAGTAAACTGCTTTTCAGAAGCCCTGTTGCACCCTCAGCTTGTTTGAGTAAACTTAGGCGATTGCAACATTCAAGGGCCGTGACTACTCATTATACTTCGTAAAAAAGATTCAGGGGTCTCCAGAAAGTTGTCAATAGTGAACAAGGTTTACAAGATGCTGTTGCCAAATTAACAGCACCAACGCCAGTTCTTTGAGGGGCTGTTAGGATCCCCTCCCACTGCCTGATAGCACACAAACTTAATCATAAAAAGGACAGTGCAGCATATCATAGAATCCCTACAGTGTGGAAGCAGGCTATTCAGCCCATCAAGTCCACAACCTATTCCCACCCCATTCCCGTAACTCTGCATTTCCCATGGCTAATCCACCTAACCTGCACATCCCTGGACTCTACAGGCAATTTAGCATGGCCAATTTACCTAATGTACACTTGTCCTTGGACTGGGAGGAAACCCACCCAGACATTGGGAAAATGTGCAAACTCCACACAGCTGCCCGAGGGGGGAAATCGAACCGGGTCGCTGGTACTGTGAGGCAGCAATGCTAACCACTGAGTCACCGTGCTGTAATGCAGTGTACACATTTTAAAGAATGTACCAGGAAAAGCCTGCAACCACTGGGTGGCACGGTGGCTCAGTGGTTAGCGCTGCTGCCTCACAGCACCAAGGACCTGGGTTCAATTCCACCCTCGGGTAACTGTCTGTGTGGAGTTTGCACATCCTCTCCGTGTCCGTGCGGGTGCTCCGGTTTCCTCCCACAGTCCAAAGATGTGCAGGTTGGGTGAATCGACCATGCTAAATTGCCCTTAGTGTCCAGGGATGTGCAGCTTAAGGGGACAGGTCTGGGTGGGATGCTCCAAGGGTCGGTGTGGACTTGTTGGGCTGAAGGGCCTGTTTCCACACTGTAGGGATCCTATGATCAGTTAAGTACATGGCATTGCAGTTGATGTTAATATGATGTGCTTTGGTCAAATTATGATTTCATCATGAATGCACTCAAAGTACTTATGGGAATCATGAGTTATATCCAAACTCAGTCATAACAATTTCTTGGCTTGATTGGTAGCTTTCTGGCCATTAATTGGCCACTCAAGAGGGAAATCACATTGAGCAACTGTTTTCCACATGGTGTGGACCTCTGATTTCTGACCCACATTTGAACCTGACAGAGATTCACACACTCCTGAGGAAAATCTTGCCCACTGTTCTCTTTCGCTTTCCTGCTGCCTACAGATGTTTGATGGAGTACTTCCAGTACATTTCATTGAAGTTTCTGATTTCTACTGTCTGCACCATTTCATCCTTTATATAGGCTATAAAGTCTGCCTGCATTCTTATATAACCTGATGGGAGGGTTACATATCTACATTCTGATATTTACCAAAAAAGTTCCTTTCCTTGATGAGATGCCAGAAGACTGAAGGTTGGCTAATGTGGTGCCACTAATTAATATAGGTGGTAAGGAAAAGCCAGGGAACTATAGACCGGTGAGCTTGACGTCAGTGGTGGGCATGTTGTTGGAAGGAATCCTGAAGGATAGGATTTGCATGTATTTGAATAGGCAAGGACTGATTAGGGATAGTCAACATGGCTTTGTGCAGGAAAAATTGTATCTCACTAACTTGAGTCTTTTTGTAGTAGTAACAAAGAGGATTAAAGTGGGCAGAGTGATGGACGTGATCTACATGGACTTCAGTAAGGCATTTGGCAAGGTTCCTCATGGTAGACTGGTTAGCAAGGTTAGAATACAGGGAGAACTAGCTATTTTGATACAGAACTGGCTCAAAGGTAAAAGGTGGTGGTGGAGGGTTGTTTTTCTGACTGGAGGCCTGTGACCAGCGGTGTGCCACAAAGATCAGTGTTGAGTCCACTGCTTTTTCTCATTTATATAAATAATTTGGATGTGAACACAGGAGGTATGGTTAGTGAGTTTGCAAATGACACTAAAATTGGAGGTGTAGTGGACAGCGAAGCAGGTTACCTCAGAGTACAATAGGATCTTGATCAGATGGGCCGATAGGTCGAGGCGTGGCAGATGGAGTTTAATTTAGATAAGTGTGAGGTGTTGTATTTTGGAAAGGAAAATGAGGGCAGGACTTATACATTTAATGGTAAGGTCCTGGGTAGTGTTGCTGAACAAAGAAACCTTAGAGTGCAAGTTCATAGTTCCTTGAAAGTGGAGTTGCAGGTAGATAGGATAGTGAAGAAGGCGTTTGGTATGCTTGCCTTTATTGGTCAGTGCATTGAGTATAGGAGTTGGGAGGTCATGTTGTAGAGGACATTGGTTAGGCCACTCTTGGAATACTGCACGCAATTCTTTTCTCCCTGCTGTAGGAAGCATGTTATGAAACGTGAAAGGATTCAGAAAAGATTTACAAGGACGTTGCTAGGGTTGGAGGGTTTGAGTTATATGGAGAGACTGAATAGACTGGGGCTTTGGAGGCTGAGGGGTGACCTTACAGAGGTTTATAAAATCATGAGGGGCACGGATAGGGTAAATAGACAAGGTCTTTTCCTGGGGTGGGGATTTCCAAAACTACAGGGCATAGGTTTAAGGTGAAAGGGGAAAGATTTAAAAGGGACCCAAGGGGCAACTTTTTCACACAGAGGGCGGTGTGAGTATGGAATGAGCTGCCAGAGGAGGTGATGGAGGCTGGTACAATTACAACATTTAAAAGGCATCTAAATGGGTATATGAATAGGAAGGGTTTACAGGGAAATGGGCCAAATGCTGGCAAATGGGACTAGATTTATTTAGAATATCTGGTCGGCATGGACGAGTTGGACAGAAGGGTTTGTTTCCGAGCTGTATATCTTTTTGAATAGTTTTATTTTTGCGGTGACAATAGAATTGGTGGATCACAAGATAAACATCGGTTTACTTCAAAGCAGTGGTTAGAGGAATATGTTGCTTCCACCATCCAGGCACCCCAAAGTGTATACCTATAGTATTGGCAATGAATGCTGGTGGATGGAGTGCTGCTTGGTCCTGGATGGTTTGAATGTTTTTAGAGTCACACTAATCCAGGGAAGCAGAGAGTATTTTATTACGCTCTTAACTTTTGCCTTGTGGAAGGTTGGGAATAGTCTGACTCAAACTGTCACTTTCTGGAGACAGTATGGAGTTAGTGGTTAGGAAATGGACTTTGTGACGGGTCTGGGGGTGGCACGTGACTGACAATAATGGCTTCAGTCTTTACAGCCACAGAATTTCTACAGTGAGGAAAGAGGCCTATCGGCCCATCATGTCTGCACCGACCCTTTGAAGAGCATCCCACCCACCCACTGTATCCCCGTATCACTGCATTTACCATGGATAATCCACTTAACCTGTACATCTTTGGAATGTGGGAGGAAACTGGAGCACCCAATGGAAACCCACGCATTCACGGGAAGAATGTGGAAACATCACACAGACAGACAGTCACCCAAGGATGGAATCAAACCCGGGCCCCTGGTGCTATGAGGCAACAGTGCTAGCCTCTTCTCAGTATTTACTATTGATTCTAAACGTACACATTGTGAAATATATTACTGCATAAATATGGGTTAAAGATGAAACACTCCGATCAAACGGACACCTACACACAACATGACAGAAAATCCACTTTGTTAATCTACAACATTACATTGCATTCAGTGAGGAATTGGTATTGTACCTGCTCTGAGTGGGTTGGTGTTCCGGAGTCTGAATTGCCGGAGTGAGCCTGCTGCTGTCGGAGCCCACAAACCCACTGTCAGTCTCTGGAGAAACAATGCGTTCCTGGAAAAGCACAACAGCCCCTTTAATATTGCGAGCTCTGCAAAGGCTCTTGATTTACCTACAGGTCACGAACATTTCCAGAACAAAAGAAGCTACCCCAGAGATTTACTTGGGCTGAGAGAAAGGGAGAATCCAGGAACACTTTACCGCAGTCAGTTGCACCCTGGCATAGCGTGTCTTTCACCAATTGTGAAAAATGAGGGCAGGAGCTCCTCCTTCCATATGAGCATTCGTTCATTCAGTTTCAGTCACACTAAAGCTTGGGGCTGTTGCCACCGAGGTGCAGCGGTGAAACACCACCATCTAAGGTCTTTCTGCCAAAGTTAAACAGGTATTACACCCTTCAGTTATCACACCTGCCTCAAATGTATGTAAATATTGTCTTGTATAAGTAATAAATGCCTTTGGTTTGCTTGTTGGATAGAGTCAAACTCCAATGTTCGTTTTGTTTCTTCATATGCTACTGTGCAGAACTGAACTGCTTCAGTGACTATATATGTACGTAAAGGTATTTTTATGAATAAAGTATATTTTTGAAACAAAACAGAGGTGGTTTTGAAAAAAACATGTTCAACATTTCCTAGAAAGCAATTTTTTCTAAATTGAAAAATTCTAAACTTATACAGTTCCATTCTTCACACAATGTCAATAAATCAGCACTTCTTAATTGCTACAAAATCAAAATTACACATGATATCTGAGACAAATTTTGGTGACAGACAAACTCTATCAGTATAGACAGTCATATAGTTACATTCCATCACCTCTTCAAAACCTTCCTTTATACCTCATTTTGATGACTGCACTTTTAGTTACACTGCAGCACCCCCACTATCTCCTTCATTGTTTGACAACCACTTTATTCTGATTATGCTTCTGTAGAAGCCTTCAGAGGTTTTCTGACATTTAAAGGTGTTATAGGAAAAGAAATGTTTGTTATCCAGAATCACTTACATAAAACCAATTGCATTTTGAAATCAGCTCTGTCTCACATCTAACATTAACTCCGTTTCTTACAAAAACAGCAATTGCTGGAGAAACTCAGCAGGTCTAGCAGTTAACTGTGGAGACAAAGCAGAGTGAATGTTTCGGGTCCAGCGACCCTTCTTTAAATAAAAACCGAAAGAACTGTGGATGCTGTAAATCAGGAACAAAAACAAAGTTGCTGGAAAAGCTCAGCAGGTCTGGCAGCATCCGTGAAGGAGAAAACAGAGTTAACGTTTCAGGTCCGGTGGACCTTCCTCAGAACTGTACTGTACCGTTCTGAGGAAGGGTCACCAGACCCTAAAAGTTAACTCTGTTTTTAACTTCACAGATGCTGCCAGACGTGCTGAGATTTTCCAGCAACTTTGTTTTTGACCTTCCCTTAAAACTGATTGTACCTTGGAAAAGGTTGGCATACAGGCTGAAAATGGGGGAGGGCTATGTAGTCAATGATAGGTGGAGATGGAGCACAGATGGAGAGAACAGCAGTTGGGCAAAGGAATGGGTAATGACCAGCCTGAGGAAATCAGTATCTGCTAATGGGGACCATTAGTGGCTGACAATGGGTTGGCTGTGCTCATAGCCCTGGTGTGTAGGGGTCAGGGGAAGGACAATGGAAGAAGGTGCTCAGGCCCTAAAATTATTGAACTTGATAATGAGTCCTGAAGCCTGAAGGGTTCCCACATGGAAAGTGAGGTGCTGTTCTTCTAGCTTGTGCTGAGCTTTGCTGGAACACTGCAGCAAGCCCAAGACAGAGATGTTGGCCAGGGAACACGGTAGTGTTTCGAAATGGCAGGCAACTGGAAGCTCAGGGCCATTTTTACTAGCAGAATGTAGCATAAGTGATTGCCGAGCCTGCACTTTGTCTCCCCAGTGTAGAGGAGACTACACTGAGCAGCAAATACAGTAGACTAGAATGAGTGAACTGCAGGTAAATGACTGCTTCACCTGGAAGGTGTGTTTAGGGCCTTGGATAGTGTGGAAGGAGGAAGTGAACGGGTGGGTGTAACACCGTCAGCAGTTGCAGGGGAAGGTGCCGTAGGGCTGCGAGGGGGTGGTGTTGGGAGTGAAGGAGGTGTGGTCCACGGTGTCCCGGACAGAACGATCCTTGCACAAGCCTGACAAGGGAGGGGAAGGGATTGTGTGTCCGGTGGTGGTATCCTGCTGGAGGTGGTGGAAATGGCAGCTAATGATCGTCTGGATGTGGATGCTGGTGGGATGGTAGATGAGGACAAGGGGGACCCTATCACTGTTGTGGGAGGGAAGAGAGGGGGTGAGGGCGGATGTGTGGGAGATGGGTCAGACACAGCTGAGAGCCCTGTCAATGAGGGTGCCGGGGAATCTTTGGTTAAGGAAGAAGGTGAACTGTCGGAGGCCTCTTTGACAAAGTTAGCATCATCAGAACAGATGTAAATGAGACAGAGGAACTGGGAGAATTGAATAAAGTCTTTACAGGAAGCAGGATGTGAGGATATATAGTTAAGGTAACTGTGGGAGTTGGTAGGTTTATAGTGGATATACAAATAGAAACAAAGATGTCCAGGAACAATGTCCACCATGGTCACTAATCTGATGTCATCTAGTGATCTTCCCCCCGCCTCTCCACTACCTCGAATCTCACAGACCCCCAACCCTGCATAGCCTGCTTCTACCTTCCTCCCAAAATCCACAAACAGGACTGCCTGGGCAAGACCCATTGTTTCTGCCTGCTCCTACCCCACAAATCTCATCTCTTCCTGCCCCGACTTGGTGTTTTCTCCCCTGGTCCAGTCCCTGCCCACATACATCCGTGATTCCTCTGATGTTTTACATCAGTCTCAGAATTTCCAGTTTGTGGGCTCCAGCCACCTCCTCTTCGCCATTGACATGGAATTCCTATAGACGTCCATCCCCCACCAGCACGGTCGCAAGGCTCAACTCTTCTTCCTGAAACAAAGGCCTGAACTGTCCCATCCACCACCACCCTCCTCCGCCTGGCCAAGCTCGTCCTCACCCTCAACACTTTCTCTCACTTTCTTCAGGTCAGAGGGGTTGCCATGGGTACCCACATGGGCCCCAGTTATGCCTGTGTCTTAGTGGGATCGTGGAACATTCCTTGTTGCAGTCGAATTCCAGCCCCCACTTTTTCCAGTATATCGATGATATCGTCGATAATGCTTCCCTTTCTCATCCAGAATCATCCTGAGGGGGTCTCTGTATAGATCAATGGGCTTGATGTGTAAAACTCCATCTTTGAAAATATCCAAGCTTTGGAATCTGTGACTGGTGTCTGAAATTAACTCTCGTTTATCACTTTCCAACCCAGATTCATGCTGGTCAGAACCTATCATGAAAAGAATGGTGTCACCTGTAAATAATGCTGCTATCCCACACCAATCATGCAATTGCGATAAACCAGCTTAAAATAATTGCTTTGGGGAGACAGAGAGAGAGAGAGAGAGAAGTCGTTGTTGTTCCTTCACTTTCACACCTTTAGTCAGCTCTATTACTCACAAATTATTGCCTGCTGCAGCAAGAATTAATGCTGATGACATACAATGGGATATTAGGGTTGAGGCAGTGGTCCTGCCGCACCTCTACTGCCATCTGGTGTAGGTTTCTGAAATTACAGGAGCTCCAAGCAGATGGGAAGCTGCTGGCGACTGGGAATCACTGAAGCAATTAATTTTAAGATGCTAAATGAAAAGAAGTGTCCAATTAAGCACTTCCAATTTGGAGTTCTCTGCTCTGCAACACAATATTATTCACACACCTTTGAATATGTCACAGGCAGCAATGACTCCCGATACAGAAATCCTCTTGGAAATAATACATTGCACTATTTAAATTGTCTTAGTTTTGAATCATATAGTGTTGGTTCATTGGTACATTGGTAGAAGGTTACCAATGCATAAGAATTTCGAAGAAAATTTTAGGCATTTTCATATTTTCAGCTCTCTGGTACCTGGCTTTCTAAATATTGGATTGTATAAAAACACTTCATCACTGAATTAATAACAGGAGATGGTTAAAGATGGTTCAGTTAATAACCAGTTAGCAATGTTTAAAGCATATAAAATCTGCAATGCTAATGAGTCACTGAGGTGCAAAAACATGTCAAATTATTAAAATCTGTTGTTAGTGCAGCATTTTGATCAGATTTATTCTGAGGACACCCAGCGTAGGAATGATTCTGGTGTCATCAATAAGTTAAACCACAATATGCTAAGGGACTGAATAACAGAGGTGCACATACTAAAGAGGCTGTACTGTGTCAAGTGTTCCATGTGATATTTTTCCTGATGACCAGGCCTGGTATCTTGTGGCATTTGCCACCTGCTGAAGAGAGTTCTTTGAGATAGTTCACAGTCACCAATTCTCCTTTTACAACAAAAACAAAGTTGCTGGAAAAATTCAGCAGGAGTGGCAGCATCTGTGAAGGAAAAAACAACGTTAACGTTTCGGGTTTAGTGACCCTTCCTCAGAACTCTGGCACCGGACCTGAAACATTAACTCTGTTTTTTCCTTCACAGATGCTGCCAGACCTGCTGAGCTTCTCCAGTAACTTTGTTTTTGTTCCTGATTTACAGCGTCCGGAGTTCTTTCGGTTTTTAATTCTCCTTTTAGTTTGCTTTATCTTGGAGTGATTAGTAGTGGAGGACACACTACTGTAGATACTCTATAGAACAGGTATTTTGTTAGATAACAAGAATGCTTATTGCATGAACCCCTTCAGAACTAGTATCTTATACAACATCTCCCTGAAAGATGTCTTCACTCCCCATGGTTAACCTCTATCCAACAATGTTTATAATTGTATTACGTTTATCATTACCACCTCAAACCTCCAGGTCTCTGACTTCACAAATGCAGTGGTCTGGAAATTTCACACTTTCCTCAGAACACACTCACTTCAGACATAATAGCTCGGTAGATCTCTTGCTTGAGGACTGTTGACCCGATTCTGATCTGTGGATCACCTCAATGTTGAAGGATCTTTTACATCTGAAACATCCATTGTAGTAGATGTTGTTCTT